GAATTGTCAATTCGGCGAGGCATTCGGACCATTTTTCAATAATATCAAAAAGCTTGTAGGCTACAGAAACAAAGCTAACAAGCTGTTGGAACATAATTTTCTCTCTGAAATGGCCTCAGTTTCTTTTTTTTTTTTGGCAGCGGAAACATATGTTGACATTAAAATTAATAAAATAAGAGTTGTGTTTGTATTTCATGTTTTGTCAGTAGTTGAAACAACCACCTGATTGGGTCCAGAACTATATGAATTCAGCAAGATAATTGATAAGAAACAAAATGTTCGGTCTGCCACAACTTCAATCCCTTCCCTAGTAAAAAAAATCATTTGTATGAGAAATTTCTTGTGTCCAATAAACAGATATGAATCATACAAGATATATAAGAACATATAAGAACATATAAGAACCATATAAAAATTAAATGAGAACTATATAAGAAATATATAAGATATATAAGGACCCCATAAGAAACTTATAAGAAACTTCCCACTAGTTTCTTATATGATGCTTGTATGTTCTCATATATCTTCTATAGTTCTTATATTGCTCTCATATGGTTCTTATACGGTTCTTATATGTTCTTATATATCTTGTATGATTCATATGTTTTTATTAGACACAAACATTTCTCATACAAATGAGAATTTTTAATAGGGTTGTGCTAATTATTGTTCTCCCCCTCAGTTGATTACCTAAGACTAGAAACCGGTTGGTTCATTGTTAGTAATGCATTTCAGGTCGCCGTGATTAAATAATAGGATCGTTTACAATGGGAACGACATCCCAATGCACGGGGAAAAGCTTTCATGAAGTTGTTTGTTAAATAGGACTTTTTTTAAGTATTGCCATCACAAGTATCTTCGAAGAGATAAAACAATGCCAATACGTTTGATGTAAAACACGATGTCGAAGGGGAAATATAACTACAAAATAAATAATTTTGTAGTTATATGAGAATGGAAGAGAGTCTCCCGTGCGAAACGGTTCCGTGTTGTTTGAAGACCGGTGGCGTCGCTGCGTTTCCATAGGAGCTAAGCCTTTTTCTTTCTTTACCTTTTCCTCGGACAAAGTTGCTCTCTCTAAATTTCACAAAAAAAAAATGCACCGTCTGTGGGCAACGCTGCACAAAGTCGTAGCGCGATAGGTTAAGAAACCGAATTTTGCGGTCGATCTGAAGAGCCTGGCGTCTCCTTGAATCACCATGTAGATCTGTTCAATAGCGAGTTAATTACTGGAAGCTGATACGCCTTCTTGTAGAGAGCGTGTGTGGTCAGTGTCGCCATTTGTCTGAGAAAATGAGTGGTTTTCAGTTTCACAGTTAGGAAACCATTCTTCACTCAGTAGGATACTAATTCTTTAAGGCGGTGTTTTGTGGTGCGTTTCGTCATACTGTATTAGTCAACCGTGTTGACTACGTTGCACTACCTTGGATTTCACTAAGCCTCATTACCGAGTTTTCAATTTCCATAGTAAAGTGCACCGCCACGTTGTCGTGAATAGATGCTAGGGGTCGAAACACAGTTTGCTTTTAGGAGCACATTTGTTAAGCGACCGTTAGAGGGTAACTAAATAAGATTTCGAGATTATTTCTTGGGTAAAAATAAATCTGTTCACTCTAGGCCTAATAAGAAAACTGAAATTAAAGCTATGCGCAGCCTTTTTGCCTGTGAAAAAAAAAGCAAGACCGTGTGGTGATTTTTTTTCTATCAAAAAGCGCAACCAAGCACCGTTACACGCCCTTTTTCTGATATGTATCTCAGAACAGGTGCAAAGAACAATGTTTGGTCGCATTTTTTGAGGGCGTTAAAGGCACGCGTGATTACAATTGAGGGTTTCGCATGGTGCTTAGGTCGCGTCGGTTGAGTGCGCGCCATAAAAATACGATCTCAAAATACACTTCACTGCCCTTGAAGACAAGGCGCCTTGAACAGTCACCGAATTCCGGTGACACACTAGCGCACAAGACGGAACAACCTTCAAGCTACTGATTTTCCAAAGCTACCCACATTTCTCAGTTTCACTATTCTGTTTTGGTTCTTCCTATACTCTCTAAAATACAATAAAATACAACACAAAACAATGTTTACTTGTTCCTTAAAATACAGTCCAAATGTAATTCCCAATTAGCCAATATTTGCTTGTGCGTGCGAATCAACATGCTCCTCTCCATTTATATTAGAGAAATATTGAATTTGCACTACAGCACGCCATTGCAAAATAAATGGAGTTTCAATCTCCAGAAAAAAAGAAATATAGTTATAGTTTATTTCACTAAATCGTTCGAAAGTAGTAATGCATAAGACATGTATTTTGGCATTTTTTACGACACGTTGTTAACTGCAACTATAGTTACCAACGCCAACCAATTTCTAAGGGTTTTTTTCTCCTCTACAAATGTCTGCTTTCTTGAAAATAACGTAATAAAGGTACGCGAGCTCGTTAAAGTTAAACATTTCTAAAACCCAAGACGTAGGCTACAAAAAAAGGAAAAACACAATAAGTTTTTGAGAGCTTTCTTATTTTGGTACATTTTAGCTTGAGTAACTTAACAGGTAATTGATTTAAAGCTTCGTTACGTAATAATTTCTTGTAGCCGTTTTATATTTTGTATAAATGAATGGTTCAGTACATTTTCTGTTCGTTCTAAATGCTATTCCTTTGGCATTTTCCACTTTATGTTTGTTGTATAGTTTTGCAGATCAGTTTCTTCACCTAGGTAACTCAAACTTCTGGATACCCTTTTTGAATCGATTCTATTTTTCGTTGGTGATATATGGCGCAGTGTTCATAGAATGTTATTCGATATTGAATTTTGGACTTCCCCAGTCATTTGTATATCACTTTTAGTATGGACCGAGGGACCAGATATTATATCTGCGTCATTAATATCCTTTATTTTCTTACTAATAAGATCTACATGAACATACCATTTAACGTGTTTGCGTGTGTCCATTCCTATGTATTTTACATTTTCAGCGTATTTTGTCGGAACGCATGAGCAATTTTTTTGTCACTTTTCTTCGTGCATATTTATTGGTAATTCAGTCGGGATTTGTCTCCTCATATTTCTCATGCATACGTGTGTTTTAGAAACGCTTACAACAATATTAATATTTCGACACCATTTTGTTCATTTAAATGTCTTATTGTATAATCTTTACATCCACTTTGTATTTTTGTGTTCATATACAATTTTTTTATTGTCTGCAAATTAAAAGAGCCAAGATTTTTTTCTTTTCTTTAAATTTGTTGTTAGCTATTTTTTTTAACGTAAATACAAGTAGTGGACCGAGTGCTCTACCTTGGTGAACTGCCTGCTTGACATCAGGTTTTCTTTTATATTCTGAGCCCATGTAGGTACTGTCTGACACCGGTCGTCAAGATAATTCTGGAATAAGTCAAGCACCTTTCCCCGAATACCTACACTGTGTAATATATCTAGTAATATATTATGGCTTATTGTTTCAATGACTCTACTAAAGTCTATAAATAAAGCTAATCTACATTTTCATTTCCACACGCACGAAGCAAATCTTCAAACACGTCACTGGTTCCTATATGCTCCCGGAATCCATATTGAGTACGAGTTAATAAAAATATTTTGAAATATAACTCAGCATTCTTTTATTAATACAGTTTCCATAAATAATTTCATCACCCACGGTATGCATACTTGGCTGTAAAATTAATTTGTATTTTTTCTCGCCTTTTTTCATACTGGCCGAACAATGGTTGTTTTAATTTTGTTAGGAATATTGCCACTCCAAAAAAGCAATTAAATTAATGTAGTGCTGCACGTTTTAATGTATTGACATAATATTTAATATATCTTTCTCTTTTTTGGTTCAACCAAAGAGCTTTATTAGACTTAAGATGTCTAGAAATTTCAATCAGGTGACCGTCATTCATATAAGAGAGAATAATAAAGTTTTCTTATTTCATTGCTTTGTTTTCCTATTTCCACGCAGCAGAGTTTTGACTGATTGTACATATTTCGTATTGAAGCCATTCCCTAGTACATCTAAGTCTTGTTCTTGATCAAAGTTTGTCTAGATTGTGTCCTCAGTGATTTTTTTTTGTTGTGATTTTTGTTTTGTTTTGTTTTTTCGTGTGTCTTAAGAGTTGGTTTACAAAAGCCCAAAACTGTGCTGTATCCCTCATCGTAGAAAACTTAGTGAAATAAAAATCTCTTTTTTGTGGATATTATCAGCGCTGTACCTTGGGTCCTAATTTTTCAGTTTTTTTTTTATATCTGTTACTATAGCATAACGCTAAGTAAGTACAACGCTTTAGTTCTTTATTTAATAAAAAAATCAATTTCTTTAGTTACCCATTGGTTGGCTTCTTTATGCATGTTTCTCCTGCATATTTCAGTTGATTTTCTCAAATATATTTCAATCTGTTAACCCAATTGACGTATAACGTTTTTCTGTTGCCGATCTTTAGCAATTTTTTTTCAATGTGTTCCTTGAATATACGGATCAACTTTCGTATCATTAATAAATAAAGAATCAATATTTTTAGTCCTGTTATCTTTAAAAACTCGCAACGGCTGCTGCTACAAAGTAATGATCGGCTACATTTTCGGAAAATGGCCTGCCCTTTAGACTCTCCTTAGTTCGCATTTGTATATGATCTATACACTATTGTGTTAGTTTCCCTGCAGCTATTTCTTCTCTTGTAAATGCATATATTATCGATTCCAATCCCGCTTGCGCCGCACCATCTAGGTATGTGTGCACTCATAAAGTCGGTTTTCAGATGTCTATGGTCATGTCCCCTAAAACAATAATGTCAGTGTCAGTTGAAATTTGATTACTTATTGGATGTCACAACCAGGTCAAATTTTCTTTCAGATAGAGGCTTTTTGGATCTGCACCGTACCTCAGTTCCTAATTTAACTAGCCCAACAATGCACGTTCTCATAATGTTCCTGGCTTCATCACCTCCTCTCAAAACTGGCCACTAGCAGCTCAAATCAAAGAACGAACCGGTAGCTCACCTCGAAACCGTGTTTCTCCTCGTGCGGCGTGAACAAGAAGTAGGATTCGAACCGAACGACGCCGAAAAGCAGGTCGTAGTCAGCGTACGAGCTGTCTCGGGACGCCATCTCGGCGCGGGGCTCCCCGGGAACCACTGTACCGTCCACGGTGGGACCGAAGGCGGCCAGGTGGTCCGGCACCGTCAGAGGCACGTCCATGAGCTCCTGGACCGGCCGGTGTCGTAGACAGTCACCTAGTGCGCCCGCTTCTGCAGTCGGGCACCCCAAGGCTTTGCCCACTTGCCGGGCGTAACCTACGGCGTCCCTGGCAATGGCCCAAGGACTAAGCGCAGAGCCGGACATCATGACCGCTCGCCGGAACAGGCCGATTCCTGCATTAAAAAAAGAGCAGTTTGTTTTTAATAGATCACTTGAGCAATTAGTGGAACCCCTACCGTCTGCTTGACGCATTGTGACGATCCGATGTCAGGCACGTAAGATTTTCCATCAATAGAAGTTCGCGTTGTTTTAACAATTCGTGAATTTCGGAACGCAGTAAGGAAGAAGGAAAGCGAAAATGAAAATTTGATTACCTTCTTCTGTGTTCGTTTCTTTCTAGTGCGCTATGAGCTCTAAATCATATGCGAGGGCCACCGGACATTGCATTAAAGGTCGTTTCATAAAACGCCGTTTTATCAAAGATGCGGACATTTGATCAAACACCGATTCACCAAATGCCATTTAATCGAATTGTTTGACACCGCTTTACCGCATTTCGCATCACCGAATTTACAAATTTTTACTGTGTTTTTAGATGTGGTTTTTACAAGGCTATAGCATCGCCAGACATAAAATTAATTCCTTGGTGACATTTTTTATCAAAAGTTTTGGTTGCTGAATCTTAGAATAAATAAAACGTTTTTTTGTTTAGCGACTTAGTGTAATCAGCTACGACAGAAGGCCGTTTTCCAACACTCATTTTGTTACCTTTCGTTCTCCTAATTGTTTACGGATGAAAGGTACTTCCTAAAAATGGGATATACGTATCTTCGCAGCGCCTTTGTAATTTTGTATTTATCTGATCACTTGTGTTTTAATTATATTCTAAACAGCTTCCTTTGTAAGAGCATACGCTGAAAATCCGACAGATCAACGGTGCGATTCGTCATAACCAAAATGCCCAAAGGCGAGACGAAACAATTTTGATTTTCATGCAAAATAAAGGCCAACTTTGAGGACGGCTTTGTGCTTAAAGCAGACTGCGTCTCTTCAAGTACGAGAATACACTTCAGAAAGGAAGTACCTTCGTCACAGTACGCGAGAATTACAGGCTCAAAAAACATTCAAGTCGCTGTTCTCGTTTTTTATTATCCATATTAACAGCAGAAGACGTCGGTTATCATGGAAAAAGGAACGAAAGAATTAGCGGAGAAAATGAAGTGTTTTACAGTGAGTTACGCACCACGAAGGAAAATAAAGTTTATAAATCATAATGATGATTATAACAGTGATGTTCTTCCGGTGTTGAAATAAAATTATTTCCTATGCCAAGCATTCCTACCTCTCAACTAGGCAGCGATCGATGAAACGCTTTCGATGAAACTACGTTCAATGAAAAGGCTTAGAGGAAACGGTGTTCGATAAAATTTCCGGACAGGACATATCATTGAAACCCGTTCCATCAAACGCTACATTATCAACAAAAAGAGCGCTTCATCGAATGCCGTTTCATAGAATGTCGTTTCATAGAACTGCTGACGGCCGTTTCATCTAATATTTATTCCATGCATTATTGGTATGGCGCATTATGAAATCACTGATAGGCGCCTCCCAACACGCCGGTATTTTGCAAAGGGATGACAACCTTTAATTCTATTGACCATTGCTTTTCTGTGTCTTTAAATTATACGCGCACCGCCTTCTGGCGAGAGCGCGTAGTTTTGATGTAGGTTAGCAGCGTTTCTAGTTTGTGCTCTTGGCTCCAAAAAGAATACAACTTGAAGAAAACAAATTGGCCGAACGAGGTTGTAGCCATGTATTGCAAAAAAAACTGAAACCGTGGAAAATAAAAACAACTTCAGAGCATTACCTAGTTAGCTTTGGACTATTAAAATTTCTCAACCTAAAAAAAAAAACATTTTCAATTATAAAAGACGTTAACGACACAGTAAATAATGAACGATATAGACCAAATGCTGGGGAAGCGAAATAGATGCAGCCGGAAAATAAGAACCCAGAACATTGCACTTTCCATCCAGGCAGGTATACGAAATATCACTCGTAATCATAGCTACGTAGTTGAAGTTGCGGCTTTCTTCTATTTCCCTCCAAGCATTTGTCATTATCTACGAAAGTAGAGTGAAATGTACTTCCTTAGTTGCGGGATTCAGACAACCAATAGAGGGATCGGTAAATTCGGAATGAAAAACAGCATAACTGGAAATACGACAAAGGACAGATATACACCTGGCAAGTGCCGTTTTTCACTATGAATTCCGACCAACTCGCCCAAGAATACATTTTAATGGGTAATATCGGATACCAGCTATTTTATATTAACCAAACCATTCGACGAAAGGGCGTTCAATGAAAAGGTATGGATATAATCGAGTTCGATGTAACGGCGTTGGATGAAACGACATTCGATGAACGGCATCAATGAAGTGGTGTTCAACGAAACGTGATTAGACAATACCGATGTAGATCTGATACCTGGAGCAGACTGTTTCCCGAGCACCATTAGGAGGGTATCGTTCACAGCCACAAAAAACAGTGATCAGCGGAACGTTGATTCTTATGTGACCTTGAGCCTGTGTCCCGAATTCATCAATAACACCCGCTGTGTCGCCTCGGTGGCTCCTGAGGAAAAGCCCCCGCCTACAGATCCCCATGTGGCGTGAACAAATCCCCGCCGAGGTACCCGCAATCTGACGGAGTCTTATCGCTTAAGGGGTGTCCAAACAGGGTACTACAAAACGCACGACTCCGACAAATCGTGAAAATTGGAGCGGGCGCGTCCGCTTCAATTTTCACGATTTGTCGGAGTCGTGCGTATTGTAGTGTCCTGTTTGGACACCTCTTTAGAAGGCGCTGTGTAGTCGTGATTTCGGTTGCACGTCAAACGAAAGCTAGTTAGTCGAAATGAATCATCAGTCTTCCGACGGAGGCGTGTCAAGGCCGTCTTTTCTTTGGCACGTAAAACGTACAATTTGATGTCAGATGTTGAGGGGACGAGAGAGTCTAATAACTCAGCGGCGTAGCATTGCGCCGAGTGCAATTTTGCGCATTTCAAATGCAAACGACGGGACTGCCAGTTTAAGAAACGTTTTCAGGGAAGCCACCAACTTATCTACAAGAAGCCCGCGGTCACTGATAAACAAGTGTCAAATTTTGGTCAAGTTGAAACGAGAGCGTCCTCGGCTGCTGACTGCGAGCAGCGCGACAGCTTGTACTTGGTCAGCCAATAAGACCGTTTGTTAGCCGTTGGCGAGTTCAACAATGAAGAAATATTTTCGTGAGAAGGGTTCACTAGAACATATATAGTCAAAAGAGGTTTCGCAGCATCTAATGTGATTGTCATTGACACTCTTTTAGCCACTGGTCGACGTCAGCTTCTGCAGGGCGGCATTACGTCAGATTGTGCAGGGCATAAAATGCCTGGGGTCACATCCGAAAACACATAAATATATACTTTTTTTTGTCATTAGGGAGAACAGTGGTTTCGGGAAAGTTCACCGCGCTGAAAGGTGCTGAGAGGCTGCATTCACCATGCTTTGCAATATATAATCGCTGAGCAAAGTGCTCGAGCATTTCTTTGCGAATCAGCGTGGCGTGGCGACTGCAGCGATTTCAGCCCATTTTTTTTTCTCTATCAAGTAGGCGCGGTGAACAAAAATTCAGTAACTGCTTCGAGACGTCTTTTGACCGACTTTTCTGGCTTCGTCTCGGGTTCTAGTATGCCGAGGTAATTTATTCTGTTAATTTTATTACACTTCATGTATATTCTTTGGCCACTTGTGTACAATATACTAACTCGTTAGGTTAAGAACTTATTTATGTAGCTATGTAAATCCCCTTACCAGTCAACGATCACTTCCACTCACTTTTGAAGGGAAGTACCCTTCGAATAGTCGTTGGGAAGGGGAGTACTCTTCAAAGGGTATTCAAAGAGTCACTGAAGGCATTTGGCAAACTGGATCACCCACTTTTTGCTATCAGAAGGCCCTACTTGTTGTTTTGCATTATCTTACTTATACTTTTGTATAAGTGGAGCTTGTATCCCAAGCAGCGCAAGATAATAAAGTGTTACGTATTTTCGATGAATAATTCGGTGCATGCGTCTGGTTTTCTATCTCATCGTTCCTTGACTTGTTCCGGCATTGATCAGGGCAGCAATTTTCGTCCTCGTCTTTTAATTTCTGTCATCGACGGTATTTCTTGCGTCAATCTAAAGAAATACCTTCATTTGTCGACGAACAAAAAATTCAGTATACAAGTGCTGTAAAACGTTTCTTTTGCTTAAATGTAATGTTTTTTTTTTATTTTTAGTTGTTTTTGTTGATGTCTTTTTCTGAATAATTTAAATACGAAATGCACTTTTCTAGGCAGAAAACGTAACACTTTGCACATTTATTTTTTTGTGCCAGGTTGCCCTAATGTTACTGAAACAACAGCGCCATTCGCGAGTTGCTCAAAGGCCTAGCTTAGTTCCCCCATTGTTTCATCCAACTGCTTTATTTAACCTAGAGACCCCATTACTCGTCTGCAACTGGTTCTAAAAATTAGTCTAGCTTCGTTATTCTAATATAAAAATTCCCGGATGAAAACATAACTTTACATAGTGCTCTGATAATTGTTTTCACTCTCATTACCGGCCATTTTCTTTTCTTTCGTGTTCTGAAGTGTTTTCGTGTTTCGTTAGTTTAATCTTATCCATAGTGTGGCACCAGCAAACATATAGCTATCTGTGTGGCGTCTAAAAATAAACCAATACATAAATGTGTTTAGTTAACAAAATACTTTCCGCTTTATTACGTAAGCAATAGCTGAGGGAATAGTATTTATGAATTCGCTAAGATATGCGCGAGTACCGCCGGAATACTTTAAGAGTGTTGAAGCCTAACACCAATAGTTGTATAGCTTTTAACGAGAAATATTTCAGGCGTCCATCGAAATCCAGAAACATCTTTTGATTTCGCTATTTTTGAATTCCCTATTTTTGAGTTGACCACCTAATTTTACCAAGGCTGGTGTTTGATTTGAAGGGCCATAGGGAGACACATCTGTCATGGGACATTAAGTATATCAATTTACAGGCTCCCGTCGTCTTCTGCGACGAGCCGCTCATTAAGTTTTCATTTATTTGTGTTTATGTAGTTGAATTAGCTTCTGT